GCCAAGCTGTGAAGTGAACCATATTAATTTTAGCAGGAGCACATGAAACCAAGAGGTAGGCTCGTAGAATCACAGAGGCTCCGTTTCCTGCACTGAGTTTCAACCGTTCTGTCTTCTCACAAAGCCGGAGATGAGTGCAAGATGTAAATTTCTACATAAGAATTGTAACAGGATGACTCTTCAAGCCAGCTGAGACTTTCCTTTCGCGCATCGCGATGCAGACGACCAATGTTGTTTTGAATGTTTGTTAGAGAAAGAAGACAGTCAATCGGATGTCTTATATATTACCTTTGATTTAACTACATTACGTTCACTGGTTCGAAAGCTATTTGTGTTCAGTTACCCAGAGGCAACGACGAGAGAACTTGTGTCGTTCTAGCGGAGAGTTCTTCAACGTCTTTTTAAGAGATTCCATTCTGTCTAACAAAAGCTAGATTTGGCTATTTTGTCTATTCTAAGGCATTAAGCCTACCAAGTGTGTATGTGTATGTGTGTCAAAGCAACTTTGTCTGTGAGACATAAACATATAGAAATTTTTTATACCGGTGTTTCACAGTACTTGTTGACAAGCCACGTCGGTATAACATATTTCATAGTGGTTTATTCGGGTAACGATATTACTTAGCTGCAAAGTAAGCGGATTGTGCTCCTCCGCCGCCGCCGCCTCCTCCACCAACACCGAAATACTGTGATTGTGCTCCTGGTCCACCAGCTGTGACAGCCACTTTTGGTACACTTGCACCGCCACCACCACCTCCCACGCCAAAGTACGCTGACTGGGCTCCGACTTGCATTCCGGCACCTCCTACACCGAAGTATGCTGATTGTGCTGGACCACCTCCTCCTCCAGCCGACGACGCAGGTGCTGCTGGTGCTCCCGATGCAGGCGCTCCTGCTGCTCCTCCTACGGCTGTCATGGTAGATCCTCCTGCTGGAGCCCCTCCTATGGCTGTCATCGTCGATTTACCTGAAAATAACAGCGTATTAACTTCTTCATATAGTCAAAGTGGGCTGTGTACGTTGCCCAACCTGCAGGTGCTCCAACGGCAGTCATTGTTGAAGCTCCTCCAGCCGGCCCTCCGATAGCTGTCATAGTCGATTTTCCTCCTGAAATCTCGACATGGCAATCACTATTTTGTACACGGCTCTACTGTTATCGATGTCAGTGGGTACGACCTGCGGGTGCTCCGACAGCAGTCATTGTTGAAGCCATTGGCGCTCCTCCCACAGCAGTCATCGTGGAAGATCCTCCCGCTGGTGCTCCTATTGCTGTCATCGTTGATTTTCCTCCTAAAAACGATATTTTTTGTTTCAAGAATTAAACGTGCTTGTCACAACCTGCCGGTGCTCCTACTGCCGTCATTGTGGAAGCCATTGGCGCCCCTCCTA